GTGATGCTCCGGTGGGCCTGGTCGGTCCAGACGGCGAGGATCTTGGTCCAGGCGGGGCGCTTCTCCATGTAGGCGGGGTCCGAGTGTGGGATGAACCGTTCGAACTCCTCCCGAATGGTCCGCGGGAAGTCCGATGCTCCCAGGGACCACTTGGCCATCCGTTCCAGGTCGCGGCCCCCCCAGAAGCCCCCCGCGATGGCGTAGGCAATCCGGTTCACGACCAGGACGGGGCAGCCTCCCTCGTGCATGATCATCCAGCGTCCGTCTCCTCCCCTCCGGGCTGCGTCGCATAGCTCCCTTCCGACGAGGCCCGGGCAAAGGGCGACGTAGAAGGCGTTGAACCCCCGGGCGGTGTAGACCGCCAGCCGGCACTCCGTCTTCTTGAGGTAGCCCAGGGAGCCCTCTACGTTCTTGGAGTCGTCGGCCCCCATGCGCTGGGAGAGGTTGAGGTGCTGTGCCAAGAGGCGGGTGTTCGGGTCAGTGAAAATCACCGCCTGCCCTTCCCCCCCTGCCCCGGCGCGTCCTGTGGCGCCCCTTGGTGGGGCGATCTGCGCGGCGGGGGGGAGGGGGCTCGAGCCGCCGGACGGCGCAGGGCGCGTGTCACGGTATTCCCCCTCGGGGAGGCCGGTGAAGATCCCCTCCATGACGCCCGGAGGTTGGAGGGCCTGCGCCGGTGAGGGCGGGGGGGGTCCCCCTGCTGGGGTAGGCCCCTCCTGCCCCTTCTGGAGCAGGCGTTTCTCGCGGGCGTGCCGCAAGAGCTTGCCGAGGGCGGCCTGCTCCTCCCGCTCCAGCGAGGCGGGGTTGCGGAGGGCGGTCGCCTCCAACTCCTCCGCGCACGGAGTGACCAACGCCAGGCAGGTGTCCGGGTCCTCGCCGTAGTAGTCCTGGGCCGCCTCAAGCGCGGCCTCCACTCCAACGCCGTCCTGGATGGCGGAGAGGAGGGCCTCGAGGAGCCAGACCACCGCCGAGGGCTCCCCCGACGGGTCGCGGGAGGCGCCCGTGGAGGGGGCCCCTCCCTCCCGCGCCGGAGGGCGTGGTGAGCTTTCCCGGCGGGTGTTCCTCCCCCGCGGGGGGTACTCTTCCCCGCCCGAGGATTGGCCGGGCTCCTCGCCCATCCGCAGGGAACTCCGATGGCGCCATCGGTCCAGCTCCCGGGACTTCAGCAGCAATACTACCTCCTGGACCCCGCCTGCCCCTCCAGAGGGGGTCTTCCCTTCCTCTGTCAGGGCGCTCCATTCCGATTTAGTCGCTTCGACGAACCAGGCAGGGATCCCTCCCGGGGGGGGGGGGAGGGCTTGTCCCGGGCGACGGATCTGACCGATCGGGACGGAGTAGCGAAGACCGAGGGCGGCGAGGTGGACCACCGCCTCACCCGGAGGGTGGCCTGCTGGCGGCTCCTCCCCTTCCCCCCGGAAGACAAGATAGTGATCGGCCGGGGGCTGTTTCCCACACCCCCGAAGGGCGTCCTCCTCGCGGCGAATGTGGCCCAGGAAGAGGCGGCCAACCGCATCGCGCGGGTGGGTGATGGGAGGCAGCGGGGTTAGAGGGCCCGGAGGGGGGTCCTTCGAGGAGGCTGGCAGTCCCTCTCCCGGCCGCCCCTGGGGGGGGCCGGCGGACTGCGCCGCATGGGAGGCGCAGAGGAGCCCCCCCTCCACCTGCAGGGTCCCGATCTCGTCGCACGAGGGGGGGCCCGCGAAGGCGCAGAGGAGGTGCTGGCGGGCAAGCCGGTACATGCGCTTGTGCCGAGCGCATAGGGGGGCCAGGACGCGCCCGCCCAGTCGCTCCCACCCGGTAATGTCCGACTGGGGCTCGTCCTCGACCAGAAGGAGGGTGAACCCTTCGTCCGGGGGCTCCGGGCACGGGGCGCGGAGGCCGAGGGTGCCCAGGGTGCTTCCGGGTTGGCGCCAGCCCAAGCGGTCCCCACCACACGTCCCGATGGTGGGCCCCTCGCTCTCCGACTCGAGCTGGCGATCCCGGGGCCTCCCCGCTCCGGCTGCCGTCCTCCTTTCGCGACAGGACCACGCCCCCAGTAGGTCTATCCCGATGGCTCGGGACAGGGAGCGGAGGAGTCGGTGGGCGCCACCAAGGGCGCGGCCGACGAGGCGGGCGAGGCCCAGGAGGAAGCCTTAAGATAAGGGAGAGCCTTCTCCAGGTTCAGGACGAGCCCCTCCTCGACGCCGGTGTAGTGGTAGCTGACCGCCGCAATGTCTGGGGGGATCACCGCTTCCCACTCCCGCGCCAGGTAGACGGCGCGCTCCCGAGCGTTCTCCAGCCGCTGACGGAGGGAGGGATCCGCACAGTGCAGCACGGCACCGTAGAGGTACACCTGCCCTCCCTTCCGCGTCGCGGGCAGCGTGGAGCCCGGTTTTCGCTGCGTCCGGACCATTCCCTCCTCGATGATGGCGAGCAGCTCACGCGGGCGGCGGCTGGAATGCCTCCCGCGGGCCCGGATCCAGTCCTGGAAGAACTTGTTGGGCGTGGTCCCGCCCGAGGCGGGCCCTCCCCGCACCGGCCTCGCGCCCTTCAAGGGGTGCGGGTGTTCGCTCCTGCGCAGAGGGCCCTTGCCCCGCGAGAGTGGGGCCAGGGCATAGGCCAGGAGGGTGAGGAGGTCCAAGGCCACCAGGGCGGAGAGGAGGTAGAAGAAGACCAGGAGGTACTGGAGCCAGTGGGGGAACCCCTTCCGGCGGGCGCCCCCGAACATCATCAGCCCTAACCGTGCCCCTCCTTGCAAAAGGCCGTCCAGGAGGTGGTTCGGCCATCCCGGGAACGGGTCCTCTCCAGGGGGTTCACCAGGTGCCCCGGTGCGCCGGCGCCGGCCGTGCGCCTCCGGGGCTCGGCGGGGCGCCCAGGCTGAGAGGTATGCGTCCAGCTGGGAGAGGGTCTGCCGGATACTCCATGAATGATCATCTGGAGCCTTCCCCTCCGCCAGCTGGGAGAGGGTCCGCTGGACACTCCAGGAATGATCATCAGGAGTCCTCCCCTCCGTCCGATTGCCCCCCTCCTCCCCTCCTCCAGCCGGGAACTCCGACGAGGAAGGTGCGGGGGGAAAGTCTTCCACGGGCGAGGCCGCGGGGATGTGCCCAGCAGGGGGAGGCACGATGTAGCCCACAGGCTCCATGCAGACATCCTCCTCTTCCTGCTCTGGGGCGGGGTCGATGCCGTCGGCGGGGGCGAAGTCCACGGTCCCCACCATCCCAACGGCAGCCCCAATGGCCGCTCCAGCCACGGGAGCCGTGCGCCCTCCCGGAAGCAGGGCACCCAGCTCGGCCGCGGCGAGCAATAGCAAACAGGCGGGGTGGGATCCTCCCCACCCCCTCATGATGAGATTAGGGGCCAGGGGCCCCTCCCGTAAAAAACACAGCTCTAAGCACAGAAGGCTGCGGAAGAGGGGAAAGGAAGGAGGAGGAGGAGGAAGCCAGAGCACTACGGCCTAGGGGGGAAAATAACCGTTTAGGCATTGGCCAAACGAAACCAATGCATCACACTCAGGGAGGCGGATGGGGAGGCGGGGGAGGCGGGGGAATAGGAGGAGGAGGAGGAGGAGGAGGAGCAGGAGGAGGATGAGGAGGATGAGGAAGAGGAGGAGGAGGAAGAGGATGAGGAGGAGGAGGAGGAGGAGGAGGAGGAGGAGGAGGGAGGAGGAGGAGGAGGAGGGGGAGGACGACGACATCGTCGTCAGTCTCCCTCCCTCCTTGTTTCCCTCCTTCCTCGTCCTCATCCTCCTCCTCATCCTCCCTTTTCTCCTCCTGTTCCTCGTTCCTGAATTACTGCCGCGTGGAGCGAATGAAACATGAAGGGGGAAGAACCACAGCAACACAAGCATGGGTCGATACGCCCACATGGTGCAAGCCTGTCCTCGTCTCTACCACTCACAGCGCTGAGAGATGCTGAGAGATATCCTGTTACTGGCCACCTCCCCCGCCCCGCCTTTCCCATCATCGTCCCAGTCCTCCTCATTCCGGTCCTCTTCCTCCTCCTCCTCCTCCTCCTCTTGTTTTATTTCTTCACTTCTTTTTTCTGCTTCCTCCTCTCCCTCCTCCTTCCTCCCCTCCTCCTCCTCCTCCTCCTCCTCCTCCTTCCTCCTCCTCGTCCTCCCTAGATCCTCCTCCCCCTTACTCCTCATTACTGTCCTTCTATACCGAGGCCCTCGTCCCCACCATTACTCCACAACCTCCACCTGGTGAAACTGTCTCCCCTGCTCCTGCCTCCTTCCTCCGTCCTCCTCCTCCTCCTCCTCCTCTCCTTCGTCTCCTCCTCCTACCTCTCCCTAATCCACCTCCTGCAGCTGCTCCTGAGCTGCTCCTCCTCCTCCTCTCCTTCCTCCTCGTCTCCTTTTCTCCTCCTTCCCTCCTCCACCTCCTCCTCCTCCTCCTCCTCCCTCCTCGCCCTCCTCCTCCTCCTCTCTTCCCTCTCCTCCTCCTCCTCCTCCTCCTCCTCCTCCTCCTCCTCCTCCTCCTCCTCCTCCTCCTCCTTTTCCTCCCTCTCGTCCTCCCTCACCCAACAGTTCGTCGTCGCCGGGTCGTCTTGGATTGAGTTCCTTCATCGTACATATGTCCTCCCCTAGCGGCCCGCCGCCAGTGTGCGTAGCCATGCGGGGGATCATTACCAGCCGTGATCACAGCCTGTCCACCGGGCGCCGTACACGGGGACGTCGTTGCAGCAGATCTGGGCGAAGCTCGGACGGCGATGATGTCGAAGGCTACAATAATGGCAACGCGACGACGACGACACCGCGACCACGATGACGAGACATACCGACCTCGTCCACTCGGCGGCGAGCCTGGGGGTGAAGCGGGAGGGGTCGAGCCTTCTCAGCAGGTTCGGACGTCCCCCGGCCTTCTGAACAGTTTTCTAAGCCGCCCCCGAAGACACGCAAAACTTGTCAGAAGGCGCAAGGGCTTCTGAAAATTCCAGCCGCCTTCTGAAAAAGGCCCTCTCCTTCTTATTTCCGCCCCTTCGCTCGACGCCGAGACCGCGTCCACGACGTCCACGACCCCAACGGCGACGAACACGATGACGACCACGACCACGGCGGCCGCCACGACCAGCACGACGAAAACGGCGGCGACGAGCGGCAGACGGGAACCCGAGCGGAACGTTGTTGACCGCATCTCCGCCACATGGCGCCGCAGCAGGCGGTGCCTCAGCCTCCGCGCTGTCCCCGCTCCTCGCAGGATGGAGCTGCCGCGGCGGGTCATTGTCGGGGGCACGGAAGGGAATCGCAAGGATGAGGAGGATCATGCTGGATCATGCTGCGATGCCACACCCGTGGCCAGTTCAACCAGGGGCAAAGGAGCGCAAGCAAGCGGCAGGTGACGCCGACTGCACGCGAGCTCTCCACGAAACGACACCGCGTTGGGTGCCGCCCCATGCCTCCCACCAGGCACGGTCCCCAGGCGGCCTCCACAAAACGGGCCAAGGAGGAGGAAGGGGGAAGAAGAGAAGCAACTGCAGCCACATGCCACTGTGCCGTCACGGGGGTCTTCAGCCCACCGCAGCAGCAAAACTCCCACCTCCCCCCCAACTCGCAGGGCCAGCAAGCTCGCCACCTACCTCACGGTTTTCCGAGCTGCGTCCGCCCCGCAGGGCTCAGATAACGACACCATCGTGCCGCCCCAAGCCGCCCGAGGGGGCGCCACTCCCCACGGGCGACTCCGCACCCCCACGCACGCCAGGGCGGGGCACCCTGGCCGTGGGGGGGATGGGTGCGGGGTCCACCGATGAGCCCCCCGCAGGGGGCCCGCTCCCCCGCCCAGGCGCACGCGGTGTACGTGACGACGAGGAGGAGGAGGAGGAGGAAGAAAAGGCGGAGGAGGAGGAGGAGAAGAGGGCGTTTCGGCGTTTCGGGGCTTACTGAGAGGGGACCCACACGCCCGTGTCTTTGATTGTCGGACGAGCATGGAGCACAGAGCTAACTGCAGGCAGCGGTGGATTTCTACCTCAAACGATCGAGCAAGAGGCCCCTGCCTTTCGGCCCTCTTTCTCCCTCACCTTCATCCAAAACGACCCTGACCATTCCTTCTGCGCTATCATGATACGACATGCTCCCTGGGAACTTGCAATTCGCAAAGGTCGGCCACGCCTGCCGACTCGGTCGTCATGGTCGTGCACGTGGGGCCCAGCGGGATACGCGCCTCCTCCTCCTCCTCCTCCGCATCTCCTCCGTCAGCAAGTTCATCCGCGACATCACCCATCCTGCATCGACGCCTCCTTCCCTCTTCCATCGGACGAACATCGCAGACAACGGCTGGCGGTGCTGAGCTCTGCCCCAGAAGGGAAAAGGAAAGTTCTCGCCTCGGGCAGCAGCAAGAGACAGAGCCTCGGTAGCACACGCACTCGCCTGACTGTACTCCCGGAACACATACCTCGAGACCTCCACCCGAATTCGACAGGAGCGAGACGTCAATCAGGCAATTGCGCGCCCTCCTGAGCGGTGCCTGCAGATTCGGGCTTACTTGTTGCCATCCTCCGTGGACCCACTCTACGCCGGTCTGGAGGCCCCGTCGGATGTCAAGAAGAGGCCACACAAACCGTGCATTTCGGACCTGCGTCGCAAAGACCTCGGAGGTGCAACCTTGGCCGAGCGCTCGCGGGCCCCGCGACCCGCGGCTCCCCGACAGGCGCGCGCGAAGTGTTAACATCTGTGTCCGTGTGAGACCAGCTCTCAACAAAAAATTCGAGACGAGCTCATCCTCCGCGCCCTTCCACCCCTCGCCCTTCCTAACCAACTCCCTCCACCCGTGGCCACGATGAGAGGCCCGAGAAGCTCCCACATGCGGGGCCCGTTGCGTCCAGCACGACGTTGTAAGTATTTCTCCTCTCGAGACCACGGCTAATGACTTGCCATCCGACCGGGCCCTCTTCTGGCGACTCCACTTGCTTTGCGTCGAGGTCCTGCCTCTGGTCTTCGCGCGAGCACTCGTAGATGTCGCCCAAAAGCTGTTTTGCGCCCTCGTGGCGGAACCCAGTGCCTTTCTCACGTGGATTCAAGCGGCCCCTGCTGCGTTGCTCCGATGGCCCATCCGATGACGATTGCGACCCGAGCTCAGGACCCCGAGCAACGCCCAGAGCATGCAAAGAAGGCGTCGGGACAACATCACAAAGCAATGCGACCTGCATGCCTCGGCGCCGCTGCCATGCACGCTCGCGCGCCAACGTGTGCCCATGCTTGACGTGGGGCTTGCGAGTGCCGCACGTTGCTGTTTGCATATGTCGCGCAATGCTTCCCTCCGCCCTGCGCTTCCGAGTGCCGCCGCTCTTCTGTCCAGCGCCACTCCCTCCGCCATGGCCAGGCGCGCAGGCGCGCCCTGCGACGCTGCCCCAGGCCCGCGTCGCTAGCATGAGATAAACGCGATATGCTCAGCAAATCTACGCAACCGTTCGGCAAGAGGAAGCAGTCTAGATCGCTGGACCTTCTCCCCCCCCCATGCGGCCCCGGCCCCTCCTGAACGCAGATGGCCAAGCATCGCCGAGCTCGGCGATGGCACTTCCAAACTGCAGACTCGAGGCGCAGCGGGCGACTGCGAGCGCGTCGACGCTCTGCGTGGGAACTGCTGGGCCAACGGCTCCGACGCCGCACCCCTCGGCGGCGCCGAGCTCCACCGGCGCGAGAAGCCCCGGCGAGGCAAGGCCTAGCCAATAAACCCATGAGCAGCTATCCAGGAGATTTCTGTCGCCGCGCCCTGGATGCGAGCACGCATGCGCCCGCTGAGTTGGGCGTCTAGATCGCCCCCCGCCCGATAGTTGGAGCGGGCTTCGCTCGAGACGCCCCCGAGAGCATTCCACTTCATAGGGGCATCGGTGGGCCCCTGCCTTTTGCCTTACTTGCAGAGGCAAGCAGCGGGAACTGGCGCGCCTTTCAAGGGCCACCTAAGGGCGGCAGCCAACGTTCTCGCTTAAAAAGCAACTCGTTGGTCGCTTTGCACATTCCGTCTCATCGTGCAATGCGAAGCCCCCCCCCCCGAGTTGTCGGACGCGCGATGCGCATCCCCCGTGAATATTGCGAAAGGACATTCGCGATGCCACTCGGGCGCTCTGGCGAACAAGCTACCGACTGGACCAATCGCCCAGTTGCTCGACGCGCGGGGCTCGAAGCCCACGACGCACAGGCGCCCCATTAGAGGGGCGGCGTTGCTGCGCGGACACCACGAGGGTCAGATGTGAGATGCGCCACATCAACGCAACCGACGGGGGTAGCGCCCCTGGGCTCCAGCCAAGCCGACCTTGAGCAACCTCGTAATTCAGTCGAAGGGAAGCCCCTTCCCTTTGATCCCTCCCCCGCCGGGAGGGGGGGGGGGTAGCGGGGGGGGTGGCGCCCCCCCCCCCGGGTCAGATACGACGCCCCCCCCCCCCCCGTACCGACCTTGAGCAACGTCGTAATTCAGTCGAAGGGAAGCCCCTTCCCTTTCCCTTCCCCGACGAGGGGGGGAGGGGGGTTCCGGGGGGGGTCCCAGGGGAGTCCCGGGGAAGTCCCGGGTCAGATACGACGCCTCCCTCCCCCACCTTCTCGTCCTTCTCCCCGTTCCCCAAAACCATCCCACAGCCCGTGCCTCTTGCTGCGCATTGCGAACAGGGTCGGCGGCGCCGGCCGCAAGGCCTTCGCAATATTGCGAAAGGACATTCGCGATGCCACTCGGGCGCTCTGGCGAACAAGCTACCGACTGGACCAATCGCCCAGTTGCTCGACGCGCGGGGCTCGAAGCCCACGACGCACAGGCGCCCCATTAGAGGGGCGGCGTTGCTGCGCGGACACCACGAGGGTCAGATGTGAGATGCGCCACATCAACGCAACCGACAGCGCCGAATTCCCACGCAAGTGCTTGGAACATCTCTGGCGACGGGTACCTTCGCCAGGGGCGACACCGCGATCGACTTCCAAGATTCGACGGGGCCGCCCCCCGACCGCAGACGAGAAGCGAGAAGCTCGAACGCCGGGCAATCCACTTCGACGCCGAGGGCCAGGACCATCTCCGAGTCAACTTCATCACTGCCGCTGGCCTTGCCAGCATTCAATCTGCTACGCGCTCGCAGTGCATGGTGCCCGTCAAAATCTCGCGAAGCACATCTACCCCCACAATGCCAAGACCTTTGTACTCCGGCAAGCTGAACCTCGTCGGTCTCAGCAGGATCAAAATATCTGCGCGTGCAGAACTATGCAGAATTCCTCCACCAACTTCCCAAATTTGGACACGTCCTCCTCCGTCCTGCCGTCGATGTCCACCAGCTCCCTCCCCGCTGCCTTGCCACCGCGATCCCTGTCTCTCCTGCCCGACGGGGGCCAGCGCCCCCCCCCCCTTCAAGCTGCGGCGTTTGCGGGCCTCCTGTCTCCTTAGCTCTCTCTTCCTGGCGTCTCGCGTGGGGATCGAGCGCATGCGCTGCGCGAGCTCTGCGAGACTGTCAGGCTTGACGCGCGCGTCGCGTGGCAGCTCCCCTCGAGCATTATGGCTGCCTCATTGGCCCTCTCCGCCATGCCCTTGCCCAGCCCGTCCAAGACCACGCGGCCCTCCTCCGCCTTGATCGCCAACGTATCCTCCGACGCCCCATCCCGGTACTCAGCCGAAGATTCGGCGAACTCAGGAGCCCATCCAGTCAGCGCATGCCGTCGGCCGAGGCGCGCGAAGGCACAGTGGCCCCCCTGCGCCTGCACCCGCGGTGGGAAACGATCACGATGAGCACCACCAACAGACGCGATCTCCACGTTTGCGCAGCTCGAAAGGGTTCCCCAAGAGACTGGAACCGCCAGGACATAAATCATCGAGTCGTAGCGTAGCCCAAGTGGTAGAAAGCACGACAGCGTCGGCCGCTTTGACACACCAAGAGAAGAACGCATCGATGAGGAACTCCCGACGTTCGAGACCCTCCGTCGCGCTAGAGATCGCTGCTAGACTGTATGGACCAGTCCTATGAAGGATGTTGGGAGGCAGCTGCGCGTTGAAGTCTCCCACCACCACCAAGTGTCTACACCACCAGGTGTCCATACCCAATAATGAATGCTCTGAACCCTGCGATCACATCTATAAACTCGTCAAGCGCTGCTGAAGAAGCTTGACCGCGTCGCCCTGGATAACCTGGTGGCATCAACATCCTCCCAATTTGCAATCCAGCTCTTGAGCTCCAGCGTGCCCACCGGGACGGAAGATGGATCACCATTGTTGTAAGGATTGCCCAGTCCACCAGCATGGCCACGTAGCGGGGCGTAGGTCGATCCATTGGAAGAAGCAACACCTCAAATGGCAATCTTGCGTACCTCATCCATCTTACTCTCGAAACTATTTTCCATGGCATCGAACTTCTGGACAACGTTTCTCACAATCCGCTCTTCCACATCATCCACCTTAGAGTTCAGGCGGTCGAATGCACGGTCGGCAGCGCGATCAGCGGCAAGGACCAAGAGAGACTCGAACATCTTCTCATCCATCTCACCGACAGGTCCAACACTGAAAACCTTAGCAGGAGACTCCACGATAGCCTCGGTACCCGGAATACAATACACGGAATTGTGTGCTAGTCCTTGAAACTTGAGCCAAACTAGCCGTGAGAGGAGGAAGGACGAGGGAAACGCGGAGGGTCGAAGAGGAACCAGAGTGCCAGGTGGACAAAACGGTGGGGAGGACGAGGAGGATGAGGTGGACGGGGAGGAGTAGGAGGGGGAGGGGGAGGAGGTGGGAGGTGCGCGCTGGCGTCGGCCGGCCGCCCCCGCGGGCCCTGGGGGCTCAGGTCGGGGCAGCAGAGCTCTTGGAAGACGCTCCACAACAGCCCATCCACCTCTTGGGGGCTGCCCGGGACTTCCGCCCCGGGGGGGGAGGGGAAGCGTAGGGGAGCTCCTCCTCCTCCTCCGCCTTCTCTTACCCCTCCTCCTCCTTTTCCTCCTCCTCCTCTTTCCTTCCTTCTTTCCAAACCTTATTTCCTTCCTTCCTTCCTTCCTTCCTTCCTTCCTTCCTTCCTTCCTCCTCTCCTCCTCCTCCTCCTCCTTCTCCTCTTCCTCCTCCTCCTCCTCCTCCTCCTCCTCCCCATATTCCTCCCTCTACACCCTCCCCCATCTCTGGAAGGAGGCATCATTTGCATCAGGACGAGAAGGGAGAGGAAAGACCTGGTGGAGGAGAAGGGAATAACGGCGCCTAAGTTCGCGTTCTGCGCTGCGCGGAGCGCGAATAACTTCGCATTCTCGCGCCGACCCCCAGGGGAGACGAGGAGGATAAGGATGAGGACGAGGATGAGAACGCCGACGAGGAAGAGGAGGATGAGGCGGAGGAATCGGAACCGAACCTCGAAGCGCGAATAACTTCGCGCCCTCGAGGGCGCCCTCGAGGAAAAGGAAGATCACCGCGCGCGGCCCCAAAACAGGGCCGTTTTTCCCCAACCATCCTAATGTGTGGGGTCTTCGTTTTGAAGAGACAACGCCCCGCGTCCCACTCACTCACTCACTCACTCACTCACTCACACACTCACTCACTCTCTCACTCACTCATTCCTACTCCTCCTCCTCCTCCTCCTCCTTCTCGTCATCGTCCTCCTCCTCCTCCTCCTCCCTCCCTCCTCCTCCTCCTCCTCGTCCTCCGTAGCCATTTGGCTCAAGCATTTCACTCCTGGTCAGGTCCAGGAGCTTGGGGCTCGAACATTTCGCGTTCGCATCCGCCCCCCAAAGTTTTCGGAACATTCCCCACCAGTCTGCCATGCCTGCCACCCCTGCGAAGGAGGTGATCTGCGGGCATGTCGACATCGGCGAGAGCACCACCACCGCCCGCCTCAACTACGACCTGGGCGGCCTTCCGGAACGCGAGCTGGAGAAGCTTACGGAGGAGGCCGTATGCCTAGCACGAGGCTCCATCGCCTTCACGTTCTACATGGACCGTCAGAAGGAGGAGCACGAGTGCGGGGTGACCAGCGCCTGCACCACCCAAGACTTCTACACCGAGAAGTGGCACTACACAGTCGTCATCGATGCCCCAGGCCATCGCGATATCAACAAGGACGAGAACCTGCAGAAGAAGTCTGACAACATGGGCTGGTGGAAGGGCTGCGATGTCAAGTACGGCAAGGACTGCGCCACCCACAGATACAAGCAGTTCCGCTATGCCGAAGTCGCGAGAGAAATGAAGATCATGCTGGTCAAGGACGGGTGGTACAAGGACTTCGAAAAGAAGGACACGCCTGCGATGCCAGTCTCCGGCCGGATGGGCGACTACCTGCTAACGAAGTCTGACAACATGGATTGGTGGAAAGAATGCGTCGGCGAGTACGGCAAGGCCCGTGCCATGCAAATACATCCATCATAATCGATCCAGGATGGTTTTACCTTTCCCCGCTTGCCGTCTGAGGCAAGCCATGCTGCAATAGGGCTTGCTCCTGCCCTTTGCATTTCGCTGCCCTTAGGTGCATAAGAATCGTGGGAGAGGCCCGCGGGATTAGTCTTCCCCGCTCTCCGTGATGAGCCGAGGTCTGCATCAGAGTTGCTTTGCATGTCTTGTCTTGTGCACTATTGCGGTGTGCACCCGTGCAGTCGTCTTGTTTCTAAGTGGCACTGTGCATAGTATGTGTTGCCCATTCGATCAAAGCTTGTAAAAGACAGACCGTAGAAGTCAGTAAAACAGGTTGAGAGCTTCCCAAGAGGGTGGTGCTTCCCTGAAAATCATGCACGGCAGCCCTGACAGAAGGGAGTGGCTCGGCGATTGGAGCTCCGCCGAGTCCTACGGCCCATCCCCACAGCGGGATCCCTGGCCGCGGGCAGCTAGTAGTCACCAGGCGAACGCTCTCCTCCACCACGCGCTGATCCTCCTCCTCCTCCTCCTCCTCCTCCTCCTCCTCCTCCTCCTCCTCCTCCTCCTCCTCCTCCATGCGTTTCACCCACCCAATACAGCGTTTCGTGTCCCTATACTGAGCCCCACCCAAGGCCCCAGGGGGGGGGTACCACATGCGTCCGCCACACCCAGTACGGCGCTTCGTGGCCCCATAGAGAGCTCCTCCTAAGGCCCCAGGGGGGGGTACCACATGCGTCCGCCACATCCAGCACGGCGTTTCGTGGCCCCATAGGGAGCTCCACCTAAGGCCCCACGGGGGGGGGGGACCACATGCGTCCGCCACACCCACTACGGCGTTTCGTGGCCCCATAGGGAGCTCCACCTGAGGCCCCAGTGGGGGGTACCACATGCGTCCGCCACACCCGGTACGGCGCCTCATGGTCATATAGGGAGCTCCACCTAAGGCCCCAGTGGGGGGTACCACATGCGTCCGCCACACCCAATACGGCGCTTCGTGGCCAATGGGACCGTCCGCACGCGTCCCGCACACCCAATTGGGCATTTTCACCCACCCAGTACAGCGCTTCGTGGCCCCATCGGGAGCTCCACCGAAGCCCCCAATGGGACTGCCCGCATGCGTCCCGCACGCGCAATTTGACATTTCCACCCACCCAGTGCAGCGCTTCGTGGCCCCAGCAGGGAGCTCCACCGAAGCTCCCAGTGGGACCGCCCACGCGCATCCCACACACCCAATTTGGCATTTTCACCAACCCAATGCAGCGTTTCGTGGCCTCATAGGGAGCTAGTGGGACCGCCCACATGCCTCCCGCACACGCAATTTGACACCCACCCAGTATAGCGTTTGGCGGCCCCATTAGGAGCTCCACCGAAGCCGCCAATGGGACTGCCCACATGCGTCCCAGAAGCCCAATTTGGCATTTTCACCCACCCAGTACAGCGCTTCGTTGCCCCATAGGGAACTCCACCGAAGCCCCCAATGGGACCGTCCGCATGCGCGTCGGAAGCCCAATCCCACCAGCCCTCTGGGCGCAGGTGGTCTAGGGCGGTTCCCTTTCCAACCTCCTGCCTTTCTCTGCTCGGGAGGTTTACCTTCCCCCCCTCCCTGCGTTTGGACGGGGGGGGGGACGGACCCATAGCAGCGTCCAAGATGGCCCAAGATGGCTCCAAGAGGGCCTCCGAGAGCGCAAGATGGCCTCCAAGATGGCCCAAGATAGCGGTAAACGGGTCAAGATAGGCACACCTGAAGAGAAAGACCGTGACCGTAGGCCATCGATCCGAGAGCACAGGGTCCACCTTCCACATATGGAGGAGGAGGAGGAGGAGGAGGAGGAGGAGGAGGGGGAGGAGGAGGAGGAGGTGCCGAAGGATGTAGGGGGAACAAAGATTGAGGGGGAGAAAGGAAAAGGAGGAAAAAGAGAAAGGAGGAGGACGAGTCGAGGGTTGTGGAACGTTTTTGGCCCCGACCGCGAGGCGCGACGCGCGGGTATCTTCGCACCCCGGCTGAAGATTCAGAAGCGCTTCGCCCCGAACCCGTTCAGAGTCGATCCCTGGGCCCACTGCCTGGGGTCCATCTCAGCCAATCGTTCGAGCTGCGTCCAGCCGTGGCCGCGAGGGCCCCGCAGGAGGCCATTGGAAAGGCAAAACCGTACTCGAAGCGCTGCAGTCTTGTCCTTGATAGGAGGGCATGATGGAAAAAAAGGGGTCCTTGTGGAAGCGACGCCTCTGGGCCAAATGTTCGTCCTGAGGATTTCTCTGACGGTCCCGGGAACCGTGAACTATCGAAACTAACTCCTGGACCCCACTTCCCCTGGGGCGCCTTGTCTTCATGGCGATCTTCGCGCCCCCGCAGGTGATCCATCGGCACTTCAAGGACGGGGCCCTGAGGCGTGTGGCCCCGGGGCGAGAGGAGGCCCGGAGCAGTGCAAGCTCAAGGCTGGAAGCCCGTTCTCATCCTCTGGGCCTCACCTGCGAGGCGTGGATTTGGGATTTATCCGTCCACCGCCTGGGAGCTGACGCCCTGGTGCCCAAGCGGGCGGGGGATATGGATACATGTTGGCCCCCGGGGGGCCGAATGTGTCCATATCCACCGCCTGTGGAGGTCCGCGAAACTCGATGCCCCAGGCGGTGGCTACGGAAAGATCCCCGCCTCGGCTTACCCCTCGAGGGCCACTCTCTGCGTCCGCGAGGTCTCGAGAGGCAGAGGGCACGGGGCGGCCCCGACCACCGCGTCGTGGTCGCCCGCCGAGGCCTCCAGCACCAGGGCGGCGCCCTCGCCAGCGGCGCGAGTGTCCGGGTACTCGATGCCCTCGAGCACGCGCCGGACCTCGGAGGCCCTCGCGGCGACCGCCTCGATCCTCGAAGCTCGAGGACCGCAGCTTTCCCAAAGCTTCCGTCGCGTGTTGGGCCTCCCGTGGCCTCTGGAGAGGACGTCAGCTGTAGCTGAGCAGTTTCTTAGGGTGGAGGGCTCAGGGTGAAATCCACATGAGCTTTGCACCTCGAATATCAATCCGTCTTGTTATTCACCTTTTGCAGATCCAAGCCCGGAAAACCAATCGAAACGGCATTTCAGATTTCACCCTGTGCCCTACACTCAAAGAAAATGCTCGGTGTAGAGTCGAAGCTGGGACACGAGAGCATCCTCCAAGAACACGAGCCCCCCCGCATACCACAGCAGCTCCGGACCAGATGATGGTCACAGGGGTGCCATTCGGAGGTTTCGCCCGGCCTGGACTTCCTGAGGCGCGACCGTCAAATTCCTCGGCTCTAGCCCTAGCCTCAGCGCCCCAGCCTTGTATCCCTACGCCTCAAGCCTAGCCCTAGCCCTTGGACCTCATCCCTAGCCCTGGCACTCATCCCTAAACCCAAGTCCTCATCCACTGCCTCAGCCCAAGCCCTAGCTAGCCGTATCAGCCGTCAGCTCCAGCCTCTGTCCTGGCGCTGGTCTCGACCCTCCGCTGATGCCCCAACATTCGACCACAGCTTGCCCTTCAGCCTCAGCCCTTCAATATACCCTGGCCCCATCGAAACACGCAGAACAAAGAACACTCAAGGGTGTCTGCAAACATACAGTGGGGGCTCGGCCACAAGAAACCTCCGCAAGAAACCCAACCCCGAAATCCGCGATTTATTCAATGAAAATCCGCATGTGTCGATCGAAAATCGTCAAGATCTGATTGGGAGCCCATCGAAATCCAAGAAACCCAGGGCACCCTGGCAAAATCCAACTGGTTTCTTGGCACGCGCCCTCACTGTACAGCACCTACGATCCTGGCCAGGCCAATCGTGGGCCCGCTGATCAGTTCACAGACGCTGCCGGCCTGGCCAGGAAGGTGCAAGCTCCGCCCATGAGACCAAGGCTGGCGCGGCCCAGATCGGTGCAGGCGTATAGTCAGCGCCCCCCGACCGTCCTCCCTCGGCGGGGCACGGATGGGTACAGAATCGGGTCGGGCGAAAGGGGGGGATAGCAAAGGGGGGGGTTGAGAATCAGCTCACGAAGCTGATTTTCCCGCCGCCTCCCGGCGCCGGAGGCGGCTATGTAACGAGGAATGGGCCCCTCGGTGAGGCCGAAACCAGCTGCATGCAGCAAATTTCGTAACCCCCCCTTTCCAATCCCCCCCTTTCGCCCGGCCCGACAGAACCGGGAGGGAGCGAGGGGAGCAGGACCCGCTGGGAGCTGTGCGGGCAGAAACTCCCGGAGTGCCGTGCCAACTTCTCGGGTCGGTGCTGCACGCCCCCCCCCCGCCCCAACACAGAAAAAACATCAAAAACAGCGAAACAAGCGGAAGACAGAAAAAAACATTAAAAACAACGAACAATCATAAAAAAACACATCAAAAACAGCGAAGCAACCGGAAGCCGGAAGACTGACAAAAAGCCAGTCTCCAGGAGGGGTGGGGGCACGATCTGTCCGCCCTCCTCTGCGCAGAGACCCGGCAGCAGGAATCCGCAAGCAACCGGAAGACGGACGACTGACAAAAGCCAGTCTCCAGGAGGGGGGGGGGGCACGATTTGTCCCCCCTCCTCTGCGCAGAGACCCCAAGCATCCAGTACACGTTTTTTTTCTGTCTTTCTCTGCCTTCCTTGGTGCGCGGAGCGCGCCGGGGGGCCGGCAGCGCCGCCCAGGGGCGGCGGGGAGGGAGGTCCGGCGCCGACCCAGGCAATCTGCGCGGACCTCCGGAGTGCATGCCTATGCCTGTGGAGGCCACGACAATGGACACCCCCCTTACAGTCCTGTCATTGAATTACAGCCTTGTTTAAAATGTCGGACAGATGTTCTAAACATGCTTTCAGCATCAAACCTGTTTTTAATGTTCAAAACATGCATCTGGAAATGATTTGGCAACATGCTTCCTCTCCATTCCTCGTCCTCCACAAGTCTATGCCATTTGGAAGGTATTCTGAAGTAACAGGTGGGGAAGAAGCGCGGGTGCCATGAAGAAAAAGAGTTCTGAGGGAAACGGGCCCCGAACTCAGGTGCTTCCTCCAGTGGCCCACTTTTCGTACCGAGTCGGTTTCTGATGGCCTTCAGCCAGAGGAGGGCCCCAGGGAGCCCGAAAACGGTGAAGAACCTGTGGACAGGGAGCTCGAAAGGACCTGAGGACCCCTTTCCTCAAAAACTCTTTCGTATGCAGAGGGGTGGGGGCAGGAGAAGCAGAGGGAAAGGTGGACGCCAACTACAAACGTACACTGGGCCAGGAAAGGAGGGCGCCTACACCGATCCTGGGTTCAAGATGGGCCTGACCACGATCGCTAGGGTCACGTCGCGACGACGTCGGTTGTGATTTCTGACACCGCGTGGATCGTTCAACCTTGACCGCTCGTGGCTTGCCTGTGACGCAATTCGCTCGATACCGACCCATTCCAGGCCACTGATGGCGTTCAACCTTGAACGCTCCGGCTGGGGTCACCGCCGCGTCAACGCAGCGCGAGCCTACCCGTGCTGCGTCAACGCAGCGCGAGCCTACTCGTTGTTGACGCCCTCCGAAGGTGGCGGACTCGGTTCGGCGACTCCGAAAGGTGTGGTTTGTAAAGGGTGCGGTTTGCAACCGACGTCTGGGGGGGCGGGCGAGGACATCGACAGAGATATCGGCCGCGCCCCGACGAGGGCTCACGGGCTCATTAAACCTTTGGCAAAACGTGGTGACCCCCAAGCCCCAACGACGCTGATCGCAAACCACACCCCAGCGTAACCACACACCCTGTTTGGCGGCGGGCCACAAGGGGGATGTCAGAGGGGGCGGGTCTTCTCGGAAGGCCCGGAAGGCCTCCAGCCTTCTGGGAAGTTTTTAAGCCTCTCCGAAAACGTGGACGGCTTCTCAGAAGGCCTGAGGGCGTCTGAGAAGCTCCGCCGCCCTCTGAGAAGGCCTGCCCCTCTCACTCCCCCCCGCGGGCGCGCCGCCGAATTTGGGGAAACCGAATCGCACCGATACTGCTGCTCCCAGGAGCTCTCCTGGGGTGCGTTCTGACCAGGATTTCGAGGCGAATCCACCGGTGGCGACGAGGGCCTCCCAGTCGCCGATCGGTGGCCGCGGCGAGGGTCTCCCGCGCCGACCTTGGCGCCCAACTCCTCGTCGGTGGCCCCGGGCCGGAGAGCCCCGCCGCCGAGGAGCCGCTCGTGCTCGGGGCTCTCCGCGGAGGCGCACCGCTCCCGCAGGCGGCGGTGCAGCAGGCCCTCGCACGGCGGCGGCGGCGGCGGCGGCGGCAGCGGCGGCAGCCAGGGAGCGGCCTACGGCCAGACTTAGGACAGACGAACATCCTGCAAGAGCAGGAGACCCTCCGCGGGGCAAACTGAAGAACATTCGAGGGTGCCCACTCCCGGGCTGCAGAAGAAGCTCCAACAAGCACGAGGAACATTGGGGTAATTACCCTCCCCGAGCCGACCTCGACCTTATACCTCGGTCCGACCGTACGGCAAGCTCGTGTCGTGCCGATTTCGGCGTTGGCTTCTGACACCGCGTGGATCGCTCAACCTCGAACGATCGACGGCTTTCCGATCGCCAGATTGCCGCTGGTAGCGTTTGACCTTGCATGCCCGCGGTGGGGTCGCAGCCGGTCGACACGACGCGAACCTACCGGAAACAGTACTTCCCGTGTTCCCTCTGTCTTCGTTTGCCTTCGTGCTGTCTTCCACTCGCCTTCTGCGACAGAACGGGCTGGAAACGAAGACGGCCCACGAGATCGCCAACACACCGCCTCGAGCCCTGGAGGACGGCAGCCGTCGGCGACGACCACGGCGGCGGCGGCGGCCGCAGCGCTGAAGCGGCGGTGGCGGAGACGGCGACGGCGACGCGGCGCCGCGCGCGCCGACGCGGCCTCGTCCCCAGCGGGCGCCCGGAGCGCCGCGATCACCACCCGCGCGGCCGCGCCCGCCGCGCTGGCGTAGGCCTGCTGGAGCATCTCCTGCGCAGAGGGCTCAAGGGGGCCCAATGGCATGCAAATAAACACACACACACACACGCACACACACACACACGCACACACACACACACACACGCACACACACATACACACACATATATAAGTACACACGAATCCCAGGATTCGCCGCAAGTTCCCATATTTTCTGGGCGTTCGTCTTCCCGCCCACTTCCCATCTTGTCCCGCGTTTTCCTGGGAATCGACCGCTCATTGTGTCTGCGTGCTTTTCCCCTCCTGAAAGGCGTCTGCACACCGCCGCCGTGCCGGGGCCCAGGCCCTCCTGGGCCACGTGGCCTGGCGTGTATACACGCCCGCCTGGCCTCGGCCAGGAGGGTCGGGCACCCACTCCCAGGGCCCAGGATTCGAGTAGGGGATCTTCTACAGAATGGATTTACCCCGGCATGGATTTCCACGTCGAGTCCTCAACACAAGTACGCGCGTGGAATATCCGTAGGCCTGCGAGAGTTCAACGACCTCTCTCGGCGGATTCGGCGAGAAGAGCCAGTCCAGGGGCACGTCAACTCTGCGGTCCACCTTTTGCTCGCAGGATGGCCCAGGCCAGACCCGGCGGTGGTGCACAGATGCCCTCTGCGGATCTCCCGCCCGTCGCGGCGGCCGTTCGTGGAGTCCACCAGCAGCGCGCAGCCCGCGCGGCCCGCGGCCTCGAGGGCCCGCTGGAGCCGGGCGTGCGTGCGGCGCTTGGCGCCCGCCAGGCCCCCGCCCTCGCGAGGCGCGAAGCCTCTGCCGCTCCGGCTCCCAGGCCTGGCCCGGGAGGCCACGGCTGGGAGGCCAGGGCTGTGGAGCCGGAGGAGGAGGAGGAGGAGGAGGAGGAGGAGGAGGAGGAGGAAGAAGAAGGGTGCCACCACCCACTCTGGGAGCTCGGGGGCCGAGGAGGGTGGGAGCATCGAGGGAGGCCACCGCAGAGGCCCGGGGAGGCCAGGGCTGTTCGGCGCGGCCGGCCCTGGCCTCCCCCCGGGCCTCCCCCCGGGCCAGGAGAGGCGCTTCGCGGAGCGGAGGCGGCACGAGGTCCGCACCTCGCGCATCATCTCCTCGAAGAACGCCCGGTCGCGCTCGAACACCTCGCACGCCGGCGCCAACCTCCTCGCGAGCCAGGACTTGCCGACGCCGGGCGGGCCGATCGGGAGGACGAGCATCGGAGGCCGCCGCACCAGGAGGAAGTAGGAGGACATGAACTCCGTGCCAGCAAGAAGGTCAAAGCTTCGAAAAGCAGCCAGCTGGAACGCTCCAGGCCCAGAGAAGAGCTCCTGCCACTCAGCGGGCAGCGGCAAGTGACTGCAGGAATTGTACGCGACCGCCGTGATGTCCCTGCGGGCCTTCAGCGCGGGTATGATGCCGTCGGCGAGGCCGTGGCGGCTGTTGGTCACGTGCACTAGCATCTTGCCCTGGCCTTCGGGAATCGCCGCCATGGCAGCGCCGAAATCGTATTTCTCACACCTGCCTGTGTCCCAGAGGTCGGCAAGATGCGGAGGCAGCATCTCCACGCTGGCCTGCACGTCCGCGATGGTCACTGGGCAATGGGTGCGGGCGTACACACGCCTGAAGTCGAATCGGTGCTGCAAGGCAAGACCCAACAGGCCGCAATTTCGCCCGAACATGCCGAGCACCTGAGCCTCGCCGCGTCCACGCAAGCCGCAGACCCACTCGGACAGTACCTCAAACATCGCGTCCTCGGCGGGCGTGTTGACCTCGGAGAACGTATCTGGCGAGAGGCGGTACGCGGGCGCGGGCTGCGAAAGGGTCCCGCCGGGCACTCCTTCGAGGACAAAGGGGTCACCAAATAGGGCGGTGGGCGTCTGGTAGCGAGGGTGCCACGGGCTCTTCGGCGGCTTCTCGTCGGAGTCTGCGGGAGCCACCTGGTACGTCACCGACGAGACGAACGGCAGGTCCCGGCGCAGCTCCGCCCACCAAGCGCCCGAGCGGTCCCGGACCCACTCCTCCGCGGCCTCGCGCCCGCGCAGGATCACCTTCACGCCCAGGCTGCCACGGCGCGTCAGCTTGAGCGCCGCCTCGACCCACAGGCCCGAGCCCGCAGACGACAGGGCCGAGGCCTGCAGCCACGAGGCCACGCGGTTCAGCTCTGGGGCGCAGCTGTCCTGGGGCGCGAAGAGCTCCCCCAGGGACAGGGAGGCCTTGTTGCGATAGCCCGAGCAGCCCGTTGCAACGTGGAGCTCGGGCCGCGCATGGAGGTCCTGGGGGAACCAACCGGCACCGCACCGAAGCCGCCGCTCCCCAGACCTCTCCGGAGGTGCGCCCTGACCAGAATCCCGAGGCGAATCCTGCGGTGGCGACGAGGATCTCCCAGGAGGCCCCCCAAAAAGGGGAAAAACGAGCGACGGCCAAGGGCATCGGGAGCCCCTCCTCCTCCCGAGGTCCTCCATCAGCCTCCAGAACAGCGGGCTCGTGCCCTGGTGGTGTGGCCTCGGGGGCGGCCAAGAGGGGGGCGTCCAAGAGGAGGGGGCGCAAATCATGGCCGGCGGCATGTGCGCGGCCCGGGGGGGGGTGTAACGAACTAAGAAGAGGCGCCATGAGATCTGGGGAGATGTCATGGCCCCCGCCATGATATCCCCCCCCCCCTACACGCCAGTCGGAATAAGTGGGCAGAAACATGAAATAGGAAGGCGTTGGAAGTAGTAGATTGGGCCTCCGCCCGCCCCCCGGAGAGGAGGGAAGCAGGAAACCGGTCGATCCCTGAGGTAGGAAGGCGCCAAGGTAGATTTTGGGACCTGGGGCTCCAAAAACGCCCACTCCCAACGACGGGCGTGTGGTCGTCCACCCCCCTCGGGCCGGGCGAAAGGGGGGGATAGCAAAGGGGGGGTTTGAGAATCAGCTCACGTAGCTGATCTCCCCGGCGCCTCCCGGCGCCGGAGGCGGCCAGGTATCGAGGAAGGGGCCCCTCGGTGAGGCCGAAACCAGCTGCATGCAGCAACTTTCGTACCCCCCTTTCCCAATCCCCCCCTTTCGCCCGGCCCGACCCCCTCTCTGCCGCCCCCGGTGGCCTCCCCGAGTCCCCGTAGCTCGAGGCGCTCGCGGGCCGGGCCTGCCAGCAGGGCGGCGGGCCGCCGCCGGGCTCGGCCGCCCGCAGCCCGCGGCCGCCGCCCGGCTCGGCGCGCGGCAGGTCCACGACGATGGGCAGGCGCTGCGCCACGTAGCGCTCGCTGCAGATGGTGGGCGCGTTCTTATTCGGCGTCTCGACATCGGGCGGAAGGGGGGGGGAGGGGGGGTCGTTTCGACATCGGGCGGAAGGGGGGGAGGAGGGGGGGTGTCCTGGCTCCGGACCTCTGCTATTCAGGCGACTGCTGCAGCAGCGCGTCCTGTGGGGGAGACCCCGTCTGCTTGAAACAGGCGCCCCCAAACAGCCAAGATCTACTCCATGGGGGGGTGCGAGGGCCCGCGCCGATCGGCAAAACAATGAATAAAAAACGACCACATGGCTCCGTTGACGAACAGCGTCAGCCCGTCGGTCGAGGCGCCGTAGCCTGAAGGGGCCCAGGGACACACACAAGCAAGTAGTTCCCTGTGCTTTCGCATATCTTCTGGACTCTCGTCTTCCCCGCCACCTCCCATGTTTTCATGTCTTTTCCTTGGAAGCGACAATGATTTGTGTCTGTGTGTCTCTTTTCCTCCCGATCGCCCTCGTGCATGTGGCCAAAGGCGTGCAGAACAGGGCGCATCTCGCGCACCGCCCGCAGCAAGGGGCGGCTGCCGCCGGGCGAGGCGCGGGAGCCATCCGGGCAGCCGTCGGTGCTGAGGTCGCCGATGCCGTAGGGCGGGCCGTGGGTGACGAGGATGTCGACGGGCGGCCCCGACCGCCCTTGCGCCAGCAGCGGCGCCCAGTCGCCCTCCTCGTCCTCCTTGCTGCAGGTGAATGCGGCCATGGTGTGCTCACCTCGGGTCGGGCGAAAGGGGGGGATAGCAAAGGGGGGGTTTGAGAATCAGCTCACGTAGCTGATTTTCCCGGCGCCTCCCGGCGCCGGAGGCGGCTATGTATCGAGGAATGGGCCCCTCGGTGAAGCCGAAACCGGCTGCATGCAGCAACTTTCGTAACCCCCCCTTTCCCAATCCCCCCCTTTCGCCCGGCCCGATCACCGTACGTCGCGGCCTGGCACGGGGAGCCGAAGACGCACACGGGCGGGCGCTGCCCTCCGAACTCGAGGCTGACCCTCCCGTTCTCCAGGTAGCGCAGCCCCGGCCGCGAAGACACCAGCCTCTTGACCTCCGCCGCGTCGACGCGCTCCGGGCCCTTGTGGAACGCGTGGCCGCGCGCCTCGTAGTAGCCGGGGTCGAACGTGACCTCGTGGTTGCCCGCCACCACCACCTTCTCCTGGAACTGGAGCCCGTCCAGCCAGAGGGCGAAGTCCTCCACCTCCTGCCTGGTGCCGCTCTTGGTGAAGTCGCCGGCGACGACCAGGAGGTCGCCGGGGGGCACCGTCAGCTCGCGGTGCCGGCTGTGCGTGTCGGAGATGATGACCACCCGCAGCGTGCCGGGGGCCTGTTGGCGGCGCGCACAACGCGTTGGAGCGCAGGGGTGGCCTTTGAAGGAGCCCTGTCGGAAGCCGTCGCTCCCGTCTGGAGAAGCGCGCTCCGTCCCTAGAAGGCTACTCCCCGTCTTGGGGCGATCTTGGGGGCGATCTTGGGGCGATCCTGTGGCGATCTTGGGGGCCTCTTGGGCCGTCGAAGGCCGAAAAGAAGCAATGAGTAACATCCTTCAAAAACCCTCGCAAAAATCAATGATTCGAGGATAGACAGAACCCCCTTTAGTAAAGCGTGGTTTAGTGAAAACGACCTCGGGCCCAAACCTGGCGGGCGCAAGCTTGGAAAATGACGGCCGCGGCGCCCTCTCGAGAACCGAAAACGGACAACTCACTACTCCAGATCTCGTAATAAAAGGGAGGGGGTCTGGACCCTCCAAGACAAGCCATTTCAGACCCCCCCCCCCGTGGGAGAACCCTCCAAAACATCGTCCCCAGACCCCCCCAGGCCCTCCAAGATGGCCTGGAAGAGACCCCCCCCCGAAATGAGACCCCCTCCCTTTTATTACGAAATCTGGAGTAATCGACGTGTCAGGGCGGGGCTTCTGTCCGCCCCCGAATGATTCTGGCTCGCTCTGGCCGCTGGCCCCTTCCGCGCGCCGCCAGGCCTGGTTGGGAGGGCCAGGCGACAGCGACACGCCTGTCACCCGAGGGAGGGGCGCTTCGCCCCGGGCCACGTCGACGGGGCCCGCCAGGGAGGCCGCCGCCACCCCGGCCACGATGATGTTCTTGTCTCGGCGGCGAGCGAAAGGACAGTGAAATGAGAAGGAGAAGGCCTTCTCGGAGTCGGGGGCGCGCAAACATGGATTAGCGATCCATGGACTTGGCGCGCGGTCGCCAAATCTATGAATCGGGGAAGGTGCCCTGCCCAAAATGCGGCTGGTGCCGCCTCGTTCGGCGGAGGAAATCCGCGATTTCCCATGGAAACGGGACCCGTCGCTAATCCACGCCCCCTTGATCCATGTTGGCGATCGCCTGACGGAAAGCGGCGCGGCTTCTCAGAAGCCCTCCGGCCTAACGAGAGGTCTTTTCGTGTCTTCGGGGAAGGCTCAGATCACTTCTCTGAAAGCCGGGGGGCTTCCGAGCCTTCTGGGAAGGCCTTCTCCTTCTCACTTCCCCCCCGGGTTCGCCGCCGATTCTTGTTGGTGACGGACCGGGGGATCGCCGCGAGCGCCGCCCAGCCGCCCAACTGGCGCATCAGGCCGCAGCGGTCGGAGTTGAGGATGCGCATGGCCTGCGTGGAGTCGCGGTCCGTGGGGCCGTCGGCGATCTTGCAGAGCTCGAAGAAGTCCTCCTACGCACGCCAGGGATTCATCTTCGGTGGCAACTCATGGGAATTTGTTATACCATCTTGCTGGCTCTTGCGAACCGACGCTAACCGTCGCGAGTCGACGCTGAATACACTAATCAACGCTAACTCGGCGCTCCGCCGTCATCGACTATCAGACACAAGCGCACGCCAATGCACTCTAAAGACGGAGCTCTAAGGACACACAAGGCTCCCGTGAATTGCGCCCGAATTCATCCGTGTTCGCTGGTCCAGAGACGTGCCCCCCGAAGACCTCGGGCACCGTCGGATGTGGATACCTTCCTGCCCCCCAAATGGCGCGAAGGTATGGCTCCACATCCAGCGCTCCGCGAGGTCCTCGGGGGCACATCTCATCACATCTCCAGATGGAGCTACGGTCGGACCTGGGACAGGAGAACATCCTTCAAGAGCATGAGACACTCCGCCGGCCAAAACACCCCAAAACCATAAGATAACTCGAGGGTGCCCTCCCCCAGGATGCACAAGAACATCCGACAAACACGAAGAACAGTAGGGCACCCTCCCCGCACCGACCTTGCTCTCATACCTCGGTCCGACCGTAACTTCGCGCATCGCGCACCGCGATGCGCGACACGCAGTTATCTTCGCGGCCCCGCGCCCTCGCGGCGCCCCGCCCTGGAGAAAGGCAGCCGCTCCGACCCAGACCGCGACGCGCGAAACGCGATTCTCGTCGCGCCCTCTCGGGTGACCAAATCGGGCGGGGCTAGGACGAGGAAAAATCCGTTCCAGAGCGTTCTGTAACGCTCTCAGAGCGTTCCGCCACGCCCTGAGAAGGTCGCGCCGCCCGATGTATCCTCCAGAGCTGCGGGATCTCAGAGATTCTCGATTGCTCCTCGCCCGACTTTGTCCTCGTCCTGGCTTCCACTTCGGAGACGAGACCCTGGCGTGGGTCCTTCCCGCGCACCAGGGCGCCCCCCGCCCTGGGGTACTCCAGCCCGAGGGCCCCAGCCCGCTTCGGGATCTTCCCGAAGCAGCACGTGAGCAGCACGAACTCGGCGCCCCCCCGCCGGCACTGCCGGAGGACCTCGTCCACCAGGGGTCCGCAGGCGTGCAGCGCCACGGCGAGGTCGAACGGCTCCTCGAAGTCGCACACGGCTGGGAACGAGGACGAGCGGCACCACCACCACCACCAGGGACCACCAGCGGGAGGAGCCACGGGGCGGGGGGGCCCCTGGTGGCGTGGTCCCCCCCTCTCGCTCGAGACACCCCCCCTATCCCCGGCTCGGGGAGGCATCGTGGACCCCCCCCCATCGCTGGAGCTGGCCCCCCTGGTGGTGCGGGTGGCGTCGCTGCTCCTCCCCCCGACATGGTCATGTTGGCGAAGCGCACCGGCAGCGCGCCAGGGGAGCAGTCGGCTGCGAGGGCCGCCGCGCGCCGGCGGCCCTGCTGGCAGAGGGTCTCCTTGGCGGCGCGCACAAGGGTGAAGGGGCCCACAAACAACAAAAAGATTCCCCATAGTTTCCCATATTCTCTGAGTTTTTGTCTCCCCCCCCCCACTTCCCATATGTTCCCATATTTTCCTGGGGATCGACGATTAATTGTGTCTGTGTGTTTCTCCCCCTCCTGAAAGGGGGCAGGGGGAGGGGGGAAGGCTTCTCAGAAGGGGGCTGGCTGCTTCCCAGAGGCCGCCGGCCTCACATGTGTACAGACAAGGCCCGCGCCTTCTGAGCAGCAGGGGTGCTTCTGAGGACCCTTCCCCCCTCCCCCTGCCCCCCTCTGCGCGTGGCCGGTCTCCTCCAGCTCCACCACCGTGACGGCGGTGTCGCCGAAGCCCCTCTCCCGGAGCAGCCAGGCGAGGCACAGCGCGAAGTCGCCGCGGCCCCCCCCGAAGTCCACCACGTGCCGCACGGGCCGCCCAGAGCCCCGGGAGGCCTCGACGCGGCGAAGCACGACGCCCAGCAGGTACTCGATCTGGTCCCTCTTCTCCCGCAGCTTCGTCAGCTCGCGGGCCAGCAGGTCCCACTGGCGCATGGCGAAATACCGCCGCGGGGGGATGCAGTTCAGCTCCGGGACCAGCGCCGGCGGCACCGAGAGCCACTCCAGGCCGCACCTTTCCTCTGCAGGAGGAGGTCCACAACGTACAGAGTTCACGCCGCAGCCCAGGAGAGCGAAGAAAGGGAGAAAAAGGAGGAGGATACCCATGACCCCCCGCAAGACGATTGTTATTGGCGAGAACTGCAAAAACAGGCAGGAGCCCGCCGCGGGAGCCGACTGTTTCACGCAGCGGGTTCCATCCCAGGACATTTGCGCGTTGCGCAACTTTCCAACATGCCAGCGCGGGCCCTGGTTTCTGTCACCGCGTGACCCGTCCATGCTTCAACATCCTCGCCGGCAGAAGCTCCCAGAGGCCGCCAGAAGTCTTCAGTCTTGAGCCCACGCGCGCGCGATGCCGTGCGCCGAGGGGACCTGCCGTAGACCTAAGTGGGCCCCCAAACATCTCCTGGAGCGCGTTTCTACCAGGGCCCCAGGCGAGTCCAGCCTTGGCGATGGGGGGGCCCTCTCGAAGGCCTTCAAGCAACTCAACGCGCCATGATCCCTGCAATCTCGCCCGCGCTGTCGTGCGCCGGGAGGTCCCCCCGTGGGTCTCCTGGGAGGCGGGGGCGGGCGACCCTGATCGCCTCCGACGGGCTTTCCGGCCATAGCTCGGGCCCCGGGCGGTCGTCCAGGACGGGTCCCTGGTCCCTGCAGGCCGTTCGACGACTCGAAGCCGATGGAAAGCCGCCTGGGGCCGAGAGCATCAACGAGCCCCAAGAAACTTCCGATGACCTCCGAGGGCGGCCCGTGCAGTTGGGCGGAGCCTGCCTGCGTCCAGAAATATTCGTGTACAGCAGGGGCCCGACCACAGGAAACCTTCCACCAGAAACCCAACCCGGAGACCCCAGGGCGTCCCTTGATGTTTGGTGTGGGAACGTCACGCGCTCCATCGCCAAACCATGGAAAGCCAAGAAGCCCAGGGCACCCTGGAGGCGAGCAGGGTGTCTCTTGGCATGGGCCCCCGCAGTACACACATGTGAAAGAGCGCCCACGCAGCGCCAGGAAGGGCCCCAGCTTCAATCTACCCCCCCCCCTCCCTTGGAAAAGAGTGGGGGGCTTCCGAAGCTCCCCCCCCCCTCCACCCCTTGGGTCGGCATCTGTGAGCAGGGGGTGGCCCAGGCCCTAGCTACAGGGGGGTGCTTGGAAGCCACAGCCCCCCCTCCCATGTGAAACGAAGGGGGGGGGCTTCGAGAGCCCCCCCTCCCTCCTTTTCCGAATGCGGGGTAAGCCCAGCCTCCCCTTTTTAGGAAGGTGGGGCTTACGAAGCTACCCCCCCCCTCTCCCTGGTGAATGGGGAGGGGCTTCGGCAGCTGCCTCCCCCCCCTCCCTCCTTATCGGGCCCCGGGTAAGCCTGGGCTCTCCTTTCAAGGAGGGGGGGGGGGTCCGAAGCTCCCCCCCTCCCTTCTGTGCGATAGAGGGGCTGTATTGCAAAGGGGAGGGGGCTTCCAGGCTGGTTCCTTCTTTACTGGGGATTCGCTAATACGTTGTTGTCCTCTCACCGAATTGGGTGTTGAATCTGACCTCCATGCGGAGGAGGAGGACGAGAAGGAGGACGAGGATGAGGAGGGGGAGGAGGAGGAGAACTGATTAGGATAACGAAGATAACAACGACAACGACGGTTGTTCGAATCCGCCGACCCCTTTGAAGCGTTGTGTGTCTCGAGGTTCACTTGGATCGCACAGGGCGCCGCTGTGCTCGTGCATGCCTCTTAGGTACTTCTTTGGGGCTTCCGCGTGGCCTATCAGGGTCTGCAGGGTGCATAATGGGGGCCTCAAGGTCCTTTTGCGGCGAAGATTTGGAAGAGTCAGTTCGCGTTTCCCCTTCTTGGGGGTTCTGTGATGGCAATCCTGCAGACGTCTTAGCCCGTCCTGCAGGCGTCTTCGGCCGTTTTAGGATCCTCCTGGGCCGTGAAGGAGTTCCTTTGGTGGGCCTCCTGGGCCATCTTGGCCATCTTGGTTTTTAGCGCCTCTTTGGTTTTCGGCGTCCTTATGGTTTTCGGAGCTTCTTGTGTGTTTCGGCTTTCCTTTGGCATTCGGTGCCTTTCGGTTTTCGGCGCCTCGTTCGTTTTCGGCACCCTTTTGGTTATCGGCGCCCCTCTGGTTTTCGACGTCCTTTTGGTGTTCGGCGTTCCTTTGAATTCAGCGCTGCATTGGTTGTCTGACTCTTTGGTTTTCGGCTAGGCGCCGCCTTGGTTTTGGCGGCGCTCGTTTGGTATTCGGCGCCTATTTGTGTTCGGCGCCCCGTTGGTCTTAGGAGCTCCCTTGGTTTCGGCGCCCTTTTGGTTTTTCGGCGCCCTTTTGGTTTTTCAGCGTCCTTTTGGTCTTCGGCGTTTATTTTGTTGTCGGCGCCCTGTTGATTTTCTGCGCCCTGTTTGTTTTCGGCGCCCCTATGGTTTTCGGCGCACTTCTGGTTATCGGCGTTCCTATGGGTGTCGGCGCCCCTTTGTTGTTCTGCGCACTTTGGTTTTCGGTGCCCCTTTGGTGTTCGGCGCCCGTTGGATTTTCGGCGCCTCTTTGGTTTTCGACGATATCTTGGTGTTTGGCGTTCTTTTGGTTTTCGGCTGTCCTTTGGCATTCGGTGCCTTTCGGTTTTCGGCGCCTCGTTCGTTTTCGGTACCCTTTTGGTTATCGGCGCCCCTCTGGTTTTCGACGTCCTTTTGGTGTTCGGCGTTCCTTTGAATTCAGCGCTGCGTTGGTTGTCTGACTCTTTGGTTTTCGGCTCGGCGCCGTCTTGGTTTTGGCGGCGCTCGTTTGGTATTCGGCGCCTATTTTTGTGTTCGGTGCCCCTTTGGTTTTAGGAGCTCCCTTGGTTTTCGGCGCCCTTTGGTTTTCGGCGCCCTTTTGGTTTCGGCGTCCTTTTGGTCTTCGGCGTTTCTTTTGTTGTCGGCGCCCTGTTGATTTTCTGCGCGCTTTTTGTTTTCGGCGCACTTTTGGTTAGCGGCGTTCCTATGGGTGTCGGCGCCCCTTTGTTTTTCTGCGCACTTTGGTTTTCGGTGCCCCTTTGGTGTTCGGCGCCCGTTGGGTTTTCGGCGCCCTTTTGGCCTTCGGCGACCTCTTGGTGTTTGGCGCTCTTTTGGTTTTCGGCGCTCCGTTGGTTTTCGGTGCCCTTTCGGTTTTCGAGCCCTTGTGGTTTTGAGTACCCTTTTTGATTTTGGGCGCCTCCCTGATTTTCGGCGTTCCTTTGGTTTTCGGAAAGCCTTTGGCTTTCGGCGCCCTTTTTGTATTCGGCGACTCTTTGGTTTTCGGCGCCCTCTTTGTTTTTTGGCGTTCTTTTTGTTGTCGGCGCTGGCTTTCGGCGATCCTGTGGCGTTCGGCCCCTTTGGTTTTCGGCGCCCTTTTGGTTTTCGGCTCCCCTTCGGTTGTCGGCGCCCTTTTGGTTTTCGGCGCCCTTTCGGTTTTTGGCGCCGCTTTGGTTTTCGGTGTTCGTTTGGTATTCGGCGCTCTGTTGGTTTTCGGTGCACTCTAGGTATTCGGCGCCACTTGAGTTTGGCCAAAAAGGGGGGAGAGGGGGGAAGGCTTCCAAGCTCCCCCCCTTTAGCCGAAACAAAAATGAGGGGGAGAGCTTCTGGTAGGAGGGGGGGGGCCAAAGGAAGTGGAGGGGGTTAGCTAAGCCCCCCCCTTTCGGAAAAGGGAGGAGGGGGGGCAGCTTCCGGAGCGCGAAAGGGGAGGAAGGGGGGGCAGCTTCCGAAGGGTGAGAAAAAGGGGTGAGGGGGGGGGCTCCCGAGGGGCGAGGTGGGGGGCTTCCGGCGGGGTCGAGTCCAAACGGCGGCGGGGGGGGGTTGTGAAGCCCCCTCCCTCATTCGGAAAGGGCAGGGGGTAGCTTCCAGGGCGCAACGGGGGGGGAAAGGGGGGGTAGCTTCCGAGGGGCGGAACACAACGCAGGGGAGGGGGGGGGGCTTCGGGCAGGGGAGGTCCAAAGAAGGGTAGCTAGGCCTCCCCCCTTTGGGAAAGGGGGGAAGGGGGGGTAGCTACTGGAGTGCGAAAGAGAAGGGGGGAGGGGCGGGGAGGCTTCGGGCAGGGGAGGTCCGAGGGGAGGGGGTAGCTAAGGGGGGACCTCCCCCACCCTTTGCTCGGGCGCTGCGCGGGCGCTCTCTCGCAATATTTATAGGTATGTATATGTTTGAGAGAGCGTGATCCACCGCCGCTTTACTGTGGAAAATTGCCAACCTTTTCCTCCGGAGCCCGGGGGTCGCCCCCCCCCCCCCTCCGAAAATCCCCCCCCCCCTGCTGGAACCCCTCCCCCCCCCCCCCCCCCCCCGGCAAAACCCCCCCCCTCCCCCTAACCCCCCCCCCCCCCCCTCCCGCTCGAAAACCGGGGGGGGTCACTAACCGGTTCGAACCCCTCCCCCCCCCCCCCCCCCCCCCCCTCCGGATCCGGAAAAACCGGGGGGGGTCACTACCGTTCGAACCCCCCCCCCCCCCCCCCCCCCCCCCCCCCCCCCTACTCACCGCCAGCAAACGACTCCCGGTCCCCACCACCGTCCGCATCACATCCCCCACTGGTGTTCCCAGCACCACTGTCCTCACCACCGCTGTCCCCACTGGTTCCACCACCGCCCCTACTGTCCCCACCAGTGGCCCCACCACTGTCGCACTGTCCCCGCTGTCCCCAGAACTGTTCCCACCACGGTTCCACTCTCCCCACTGTCTCCACGGCCCCAACCACTGCCCGACTATCCCCACTGTCCCCACTGTCCCACTGACTCCTCCGCTGTCCCACTGAGCTGTCCCACTATTCCCACCACTGTCCCCACTGTCCCCACCACTGTCCCCACTGTACCTCTGTCCCATTGTCCCACCGCCGTCCTCGCCACCGCCTTCACCACTGTCCCCACCACCATTGTACCCTCCACTGTCCCACTGTTTCCACCTCATTCCCATTGTCCCCACACCACTGTCCCCACCACCACCGTCACCACCACTGTCCACTGTCCCCCCCTGTTCCCACCATTGTCCCCACCACTGTCCCCACCACTACCGTCCCCACCACTGTCCCACTGTCCCACTGTCCCCACCACTGTCCCGCTATCCCCTCACCACTGTCCCCACCAACACCGTCCCCACCACTGTCCGCACCCCCACTCGGTTTTCGAGGAGGGGGGGGGGGGGTTCGAACCGTAGTGACCCCCCCCG